AAGCTGTGTTTGACAGTCCTTTCCTGATGGGCATTGAAATTATTGAGTCTTTTATATGGAGTAAAATTATCTGTAAAAATTTTTTATTATTATTTAAAGTCTGCACCTCTCTGCTTTGTGGAACAGAACAAAAATCTAATTTAGCTCTTGACAATAACTTGTAGTTCCATTCTTCTGGTGGTAGGAACTTGTTGTTTTCTATTTCTATCTTGTTCCCAAATGTGGTAGCATAGCTTGTGTTTCTGTGGTTATGTTGTGTAAGCACCAGCACAAAAACTTGATGACATATTGGCTGCTCAAATTCAAATTCTACTTTTTCTTATAACAATATTCTGGATCCAGAATTTCAATGAGATGAGCATTTGCCATTTTGAGAGGGGGAAGAAATAACCTATTTGGCTAGCCTCACAAATCCTGTTAATAAAGTTGGTAAATAGCACATCTTTTGACAGAATAGCCATTTGCTTATGATGTTTAAAAGGTATCACTTATTTCCTAAAATAGTTCTAAAAAGGTGTCAAAAATGCTTAAAAATACACGCTTTTTCTATGTAAAATCTAGTAACAGTTCCCGTTAATATTAGCTGATGGTAATAATCTGACTTTGCAATTGAGTTCTTTATCCTGAAGAAGGTTTTAAGTGTTATCCAGAGCTGTGATTTTGGGCCATTCACACCCCTCTCCTGGTAGTACTTCTTGACTCCTATCCTACCTTTTCCTTTTTACTTTTGTACAAGTTGTTTTAATTGCTTTGAAATAACCTGTCATCACCAGACTCTTAAGAAACCATTAAAGTGACTTCATTAGCTTCCTTACAGATGTGGAACCTGAAGCACAGATTTCCTCCAAGTCCCTAATTAATGTTCTCATGTGTCTGTATACTGTTTTCATCTAAAAAATCATTTTGAGGAAATTATGCAACAGACCTGAGAAAGGTTAGCTATAAAAATAGAATTGTCATTAGATACCTTGTGTCTTGGCTGAGACAAAATACCTGGTACCCAAAGTTAAAGAGGAAAGGGATTATTTAGCTCACAGTCTGTACAGATTTCAGTCCATAAATGGCTGGCTCCAAGACAGGGTGGTATGGCAGACAGGCATCACACAGGAGAAACAATTCATGGTGGACAGAAGGTAACAAAGCAAGCAAGCAAGCAAGAGGTCTTAACAGTGCCTTTCTGCCCCTTTTATCTTACCCAGACTACTTAGGGTGGGTAGCACTCACATACTTATCCAAGTGCCCTTGATCCTAGCATTGCACTATAAATTAATTCCATTGTCACACACTGTAGATCTAGCCATCTCTGAAAAAGCCCCACTTATAACCACATGAGGCTTTGGGGGAACTCTAGACTCAAATCATAACACCTTTAATTTCAAAGCATGATAGGAAAATATTGTGTCTGTGTGTGTGTGTGTGTGTGTGTGTGTGTGTGTGTGTGTGTGTATGCTATAATTTCTTTACAGATCCTTGGAAAATTTGTTAAGGAAATATGGTAGATCATTACTAGCCATCCAGAAAACATCTCTTTTTCTTTATGTATGCTAACTGTTCATACATGAGAATTTAATATTATGAGCTATTTTTACATCTTTTAAGGAGTTAAAAGTAAAGATGCTATTTATTAGCATCATTGGAAAAAGGTTCTGCAGCCAACCAAGTTCTTAGAATTTGAGTTGCACCCACAAGTGTGAATAGTACTCTTTAGTAATATTACTGTCCACCTTTTACCATATGGTGAGCAAGGCATTAAGGTAAAGGGAGGAAAATGTATCTCTGCCCATTAAAATCCTGATTTGTCAACTTCACTGAATTAAAAAACACCTAGAAATTAGCAAAGCATGCTCCTAGCTATGTCTAGGCAGGTTATGGAGCATGACCTTGAGTACTTTACAGTGGTACCTTGGTTCATAATTTTGGTACCTTACTTACAATTTTAGGGAAGTGGGCCGTGTTTGTGTTTATGAAGAGAAGATGTCAATGGTTGTATTTGTCACCTGATGTGGTGTTTGTGAAGGGAAGCAAAATGTTGTTGAATGCTTTTTTTTGAGAACTGAATTGTTTGTGAACTGAAGCATTCATGAACCTAGGTATCACTATATGTGGCCCTGAGCTCACTCCTCTCTGGCACTGTTCTGTTGCTTTGCTTCCTGTTTCCTATGAACTGAGTAGCTTTGCTCAGACACAGTTCTGCTGTGACATTTCTGCCTTGTATCCAGTCAAAGATGGACTGGATTCCCTGAACCATGAGCCAAATTAAAACTTACTGATTTGTAGGTGTTGGGTATTATGTCCCAGCAATAGGAAAGATGACTAATACAAAAAATGGGGGCTGAGAGTGATGCCGCTGTTGTGATTGTACCTGAGTATATATTTTAAAAACCTAGAACTAGTGTCAGGGAGATGTTTGGAAAAATTTTAGAGGAGTGGGCTAGAGAAGCCCTAAAATGCTGTGTCTCCTGATGGGTGATTGAGGTCAGAGCTGAGATCAGCATGCAGATAGGAATGCAGGCAGTTTTCAGCTGTGAACAAAGACTCCATGGGTATTGGACAAGGGCGCATATGCCAGCAAACTTGCCTATGTTCTGAAACTTTGTGGGAGACTGAGATTAAAAGCAGTAGATTAATCTTGCAGATGAAATTTCAAATCAGCCCAACATTTAGGCTGTGGCAAGGGTACTGCTGGGTGCTTCTCCTCAGATTTATAATGAGAATTGGAGGCAAAAGCAGAACAATTTGCAAAATTTAAATTTTGGCCCAGAAGGAAACATAAGTAAAGTCTGAGCCAAAGGAAGTATGCCTGCTAAGGAGATTAGCACCATTAAAAATAAACCAAATACTTTGTACAGGAACAAGAAGAAAGATGCCTTGAGAGCATCTCAGGAGCAGCAAGATGCTACTGATTGCAGTACATCTCATATGACAATAGAGTCCCTGTGACCCCTCCTTGAAAAGTACCTTCTAGTGAGTTAGTGCCCCAGGATTCATTTTACTATACTCAGCCATCCAAGCACTCAAAGGCCACTGCAGCCATGGTCCTAAGGGGCTTGGCTTTGGTCTTGTCCACATGATGCTGTTTTACTGGCATGTAGAATGCCAAGAGTTGTGGTATCAAGGAGCCTTCCACCCAGATTTCAGAGCAAGTCCTAGAAAGTCATACTGCCCCTGACAGGGCAGTGCATAAAACTGGGAGTGAAACCAGAGGTGCATTGGAGACGCCTAGGAGGTTGGAGATGCCAGGAAAATGGACTACCTTGTGAGGAAAGCCATAGGCCGTGCGTGAGTAGGGCTAGCCCAAGGGAGAGGCCCTATGGGCTGCAATGGTAAAGCCCATAGGGGTGGTATCACCCAAGCCCATTGAAATTCACGTTTTGCCACCGTGTGTCCCAGATGCCAGATACGAAGCTATAGGCTTTAATGTTTGCCTGCTAGGTTTCAGTCTGATTTTTTTCTATCCCTCTATTCTTTCCTTTTGGAATGGGAGTGTTTACCCAATATTATTGTACCTTGAGATTATATAATGTGTTTTTGATTTTTACTGAGAGTTTTAAATTTTAACCAAAATTCTGCCTTGGGTCTTAGTTTTAGACTTGGATTTTAGAAAAATGCTCAACTGTTGAAATTCTGGGGAAGAGATTATTATGTTTCTGGTTGGAGGTGGGATAGTTGTATTGTGTTAGACAGAATTATAAACTTGCTATTAACTTTATTTGGAGATTAAGTATGATTTAAGTGGATAAGGTTGATGGGGTGTGGATTGTTACCATTATTCCTGACTTGTCAACTTCACTGGATTAAGAAACGCCTAGTAGGTTAGCATGCTCCTGGGTATGTATGAGTAGGATGTGAGGGCATGTCTTTGGGTACTATATATGACCCCTAGCCCATTCCTCTGGTACTTTTCCCCTGCTATGCTTCCTGGCCCCCATGAACTGAGCAGTTTTGCTTCCCCATGCATTTTTTTCTTTCTTTTTTTTTTTTTGGTACCGGGGATCAAACTCGGGTCCTTGCACTTGTGAGGCAGGCAGCAGAACCACTGAGCTAAATCCCCAGCTACCCATGCATTTTTGCCATGATATTTCTGCCTTGGAGCTAGCCAGCCATAGATTGAATCCCCTGAATCATTAAATTAAAACGCTCTTCGTTTAAATTGTTGGTGTTGAGTGTATGTCCCAGTGACTGGAAAGCTAATACTTCATGTTTCTGTATATTGGAAAAATTACTGTTATTTTGTGATGTTTTAAAGTATGTTCAGAATATAAATTTTTATTTAAAAATAAGATTGTGTGATTTTATGTTCATTATTTAGATATTACCTATAATTGTCAATCTAATAATAGTCCTTTGATAACAGTTTAAATTACCATTTCAAGAAGTTATCTTTTTTATTTGCTGAGTTGTTTGTATACATTTGTATGAGAGCCTTAGAGAAAACACACCATAAGATACTGTACTAATATGAAAAGTGATTTTTATGTTAAAAAAGAAATCAGTTTTACTAAAGAATACTAATGAGCTAACTTTAGTTTTTAGAGCAACAGATGTAATATGACAAATTCATAGACTGCCTTGTTGAGTTTTATTGTTTACAGAAATCCAGAACCAGAAGCACTCTTTTGACTCTTGGTAATTTATTGTTCATTAGTGTCTTTCATATGTCATTTGCTATTTGTTTTTTAGCATATATTCACTGACTGTTGAGCTGAAAATAAATAATAGGTTTTAAAAAGAATTATCAAAAAGCAAGTATAAACGATTTTATTTTTAATGACGTGATACACCCACACTTTTTGTGAGGTTTTGTATTGAAATTTTTTTGGACTAATGTAATATTGATTTTGTTTTTCTAAGGGGACTCCAGTGATTTATGTGGAGACTTTAAAATGTACCCATATATAATGTTTTAAAATCTTTATTCTCCAAAGGAGATTAAAACATTATAAAGTAAATATGAAAACTTGGTGAATTTGTTGCATCTGAGTATTTTTTATTTTTAATAGGATACAACATCTATTGAAAAGATGTCAAACTGTTGTGAAGAAATGTAAGTATAAAAGTACAGTTGTAGTGTTCTTAATTAATTGCAATAACCAGCTGCATTTGAGAACTGTGTGCATGTAGTGGAAAGATAAGATAATGATGACTTTTTCTTGGTGCCTAGTCTGAGGCCCCAGTTAGACAAGAATGCCCCTGTTTTACAGTACGAGTTCCTCTACACATGATAGTTTTTAAACAAAATAAGTACTGATCGGTTTTGTTCCTTGTCCTACTAAAGTTAAATTATTTGTTCTGAAAGTACATCAAAAGAGATTTGCTTCTGTGTTGTTGACACATATTCTGTTAATCCTGAGATTGTCCTCTGCTTCAAAAGTTGCCCTAGGTTGATTGACGATGCAGATACAATATCTGCTATCCAGAGTTAAAACTCAGCTGCATGCCACAATGAAAGCAAAGCTGTATTTGTGATGCTGGGACACAATTCATCAGAGTCCAGTAATGGATCCCCAGCCAACCTGTATTGTTTTAGCTGACTGAAGTGCACCATGGGAGTGCTGTCTTTCACTAATAATGCTGTCTTCTGTAGATCGAGGCCCCGCAAGCCATGGCAGCAGACCTTCTCAGAAGTTTTTGGCACTCGTTGGAAGATCCTGTGGTTCATTCCTTTCAGGCAGAGGCAACCACTGCGAGTTCCCTACCACTTTGCCAATCACGTCTAAACAGATGGATGGTGGGCACAGATGGGTCCTCCACGCTGGAAATGTGTTACAGGTTTTATGATAATAGAACTATGACAGTCTTCAAGTCAGTTAAAATCCACCCACCAATCTTAGGCATCACAATGTGCCCCAGGCATTATTTTAATAGTGATCTTGATCCTGTTGTGGGACTAATCCAAGATCTATATTTAAGTTTTAAAGCATGTTTACTTTCAAATTAGCTTTCCACAGGGATTTCTTTAAATGCTTTTGTTATTAAACTCAAAAGGCAGTGATTGGGAGAAATAATTGTACATAAATTTCTTTTAGTACTGACAATGTTATAGATTTTAATTTTTGGGAAATTTCAGATGTTTATTTAAATTTTCACTTTTAAGCAGTACTTACCAAATCTAAATTTAATTCTTCAGGTTTTACAAAACTTGTATGCCTTCTTATATGTAAATTTTTTTCAAATACAAGTTAAAATACTTAATACTTGTTTTATATGTGCCGCAAGATTTTTTAAATGCAGCTTAAGGATAAATGATAAAAAAGGGCAGTGTTTTCTTAGGAGCAGCTTTCTAATGTTTCCTCCTCTCTTTACCAAAATCAAAATAAAAACACACTAAAGGAAAATACCAACTACCTATCTTATTATAAAGAAAAGATTAATTTTATCACATTAAATTTTCCCGTTACTGTTGTAATTATTGATTGCTACCAGTGGTCGTATATTCCTATTTTACCCTAAGATTTTAATGAACAAAAATAGTAGAAAATCTACAGTAATTTCAATTACTTTTTCTAGTGTGGTATGTTAGAATGCATACTTTTAAAAAATTCTGTATAACTAGATAATATATAATGTACAGTATAAAGAGGAATATTGTGCTTTTAAAAAATATATACTTTTTACCTGTCATTATATACTAGTAGAAGTAAAATTACACACTGAAGATTTATATAGATAGGTAGGTAGATAGATATTGGGAAACTCATACTGAAATTTTACTTACTAGTAACTAGCAAGTAACTGTAATTAGGAAGTTACTAGTAAGGATCACTAACTTTTATGTACCAATAATCACCTAAAATGAAGTTAAATTTCACTTGGTCAAATAGAAGTTGTGTTGCTCTAGAGACCTTTTATTAGTAGCTAATGTTAGGGAATTTTCTTACAATAATGAAATAATAATAATCTGTATTTATCATTAGCCTTACACAGACTTAAACTGCTAATAGTAATGGTCTCTTGAAAGCAAAGAACATGTGTGTGGAAAGATAGTATGTTTTGAAAAAATTTAGTTTTTCCATTAGAATACTGCAAAATCCATGTGTTTTTAAAAAACATTATATACTTACAGTTTTCCTTTAAGAGAAGATTAAAAGAGTCTGCTCTTCTTGGACCTTATTAATACGGTATCTTACTTGGGATACAGTGAAACAGAAGATTGCCATTGCTGGCCATTTGGCTGTGCTATGGCTACTTCTTTCAGAAACTGTAAATACCTTCTAAAATATTCTGAAATAATAGATTAAATTCTTTCAGAGATACTAATGTCATGTTTTTAATGTTTTAATTATGTTTCATTACTTTAAAATGTAGGCGTGCCCAATGAAAGTATTTGTTGGTGCTGATAAAATGTATATAGTGAATTTAATATAAGAAATGTAAAGGTTAATGAGACATAAAATTAGTATTAGACACATTGGTTGGATTTTATGAATGCTAATTAACCAAATTTTATGGCAGTGGAACTAGTACAAAGAAGTAAATTGTAAATAATGTAGGTAGGTGTCAGCTGAATGCCTTATGTTGTATACATTCCCTTCACACGAGGACCTTGAGAAAACAGCTGAGCCAAGTGAAGGCCTTAAAGAGCTTTATGGGTGTATTCGTGTGGCTGTAGCTTTAGTGAAGTAATGGGGAAGGTCTCTTTCCTGTTCTGAGGGTTTGTGTTTTGGGTGGTCTTAGATTTACCACTTCTGGGACACATTCTTTTCCCTTCTTCTTTCTTTTAAAATTAGTTTTATTGGTACATTTAATGTATACAATATAATGACATTCATTGTTGGAAATTTGTACCTTTACATAATTTTGGGGGCCGAGGATTTAGCTCAGTGGTTCTGCTGTCTGCCTCGCAAGTTCAAGGACCTGAGTTCGACCCCCGGTACCAAACAGACAAAAAAAAAAAGACAAACCAATCTTGGTTCTTATTTTCCCTTCTTTTTCTTTGCATGCCTTGGTCCTGTTTCTTCTGTATCTAGTTCCTCTAAGCTATGGGACTGAAAACTAACGCACTAGATAAGCATATGCTAATTTCCTGTGAATGGCAGAAATGCTACCTATTGCTATTTGTATAAAAATCTGTATTAATATACATATGTATATACTTATGCTGTAACTGGCAGTGTTCTCAAGTTGGCACTCTTAAACCTTACAGTGGGATCTATAATTCTTCCTAAACTACTAGAGAGAAGCCATTGACAGTTTCCTGGTGATTACATAAACTCTGGTGTTCTTTCTGCGCCCTCTTTTGGCTAATTGATGTAATTGTACTGATGTAATTGTATTGGCTGTAGAGGTTTCCAGTCCTATAAGTAAATTTTACACACAAACTTTGAACATGTCGAGGTACACACTTAAGAAAAGTATATGTATAAAAATGTAAAATTTGATGAAAATGAATATGGTACTATTTATAATTTTCTTTTAATTTATAGGAAAGTGTTGACTGCTTTGCTTCTTTTATTTATTTTTACTAACAAGACAAATTTAGATCAGGATGAACTATTTTTTTTTTTTTACTAGCAATACAAATTTAGATCAGGATAAACTAGGCATCATGTATTTTTTTAATCCCTTTTTTGTAAATTAATTATGTAAAATTAGACTTTTTCTTTAAAATTTGTAGTTTATTACAAAACACAAATTTATCATAGTTACAATGACAACTACCTATGTGGTGTGTTTTACTAAGTATTTAAAAATGCATTTGGGTTTTTCTATCTCGATTTTGGAATGAAATTTTTTACTGGCACTACTGTCTTAAAACAACTAAGAAGAGGTTAGTATTCCTTCCATGCTTTTTTTTTTTAAAACTTTTCCAGAATTACCCATGTAGCTTTAGTAGCCAGTTTAATATGCATTCTGAATACTCATGAAAATAACTAAAAGTGTTCAGCATTAGAAAATATGAGCAGCAAGGTTACTGATATAATCTGATGTTGACCAAAGTGTATCTTTATAAACCTTTCATTTAATTTTTGCAAGATGTTTAAAAGATGTTTTTATATTAGCAGTGTAACTTACTGGCTTTTGAAGATGAAAGGTTTTTACCAGGATACAGTTACACCTCCTGAACAATCATATCTGTTGCTTTCTGTAAACAGAAATGTTTTGGGGTTCAATATAGGCTAAAGGTCATTGTCAGAAATAGACTTAGAATCTCCCAAGCAATGGGAATTTAATTAAAGAGTTCTTGGTACTTGTAAGTCAGGCTTAAAGTTTAAAACTATTAACCTGATGTTCCATTATAATAAAAATACTATTTTCATTAAAAGTATTTGTGGTTAACATAAAGATAGCCATTTAAAATCACACCAAACATATTAACCTTTTTTTAGGAAGAAAATATAGTTTACTTTTAATAGTAATGAAGTGGGGGCTTCATGTGTAGCTCAGTGGAAGACTACAGGCAAGGCCCTGGGTTCAGTCCTTAGCACCAGTAAATAAATAGATAGAAGCAACTAGAGTACATAATTGTGTACAAAGTTTATTATGATGACTGAGCTGAAACTTATGTCAGCATTAATCAGTATATTTTTACTAATGTATAGAAGTCTTTTTCCCTGTGGATGGTGGCTAATTCTACCTGTTCTTTCTTAGACTTCAAGTCACTTCCACATGAATAACTAGTTGGAGATACGTTTCACTCAAAACGTATATTCTGAATAAGAATCAAGAAGACTTAGGACACACTTATGCAGAAAGTGTGAACTAATTTAAATTTTGGCCACACAATTTTCTGTGTGTTAGATTACGGGGCATTTTGAGTTACTCTCACATGTATTACTGTAAAATCACAGTGTGTCTAGCTGTGGCCTATTGTGACATTAGTATTCATTAAGAGAGCTGCTAGTTTCTCTGTGGACTTTCTCTGGTCTCTTAGCTTCATGTATCGTTAAATTACATAGTAGCTCAAGTTTACTAAACTGTAGTTACTTCATTAAATTTTTCACAGGACCTCTAATATACATCGATATATCTATAATTTATTTGGTAACGTTTACACTTAAAACATAAAGTAGTTTACTAATAGATAAAAGTATTAGATTTTCATCCAATTCTACTACTCTTGCTTTTAAAAATATAAATATTGGCTAATATAGTTAGTAAGTCATGTACATTTAGTATGTTCTACTTGGTAGTATTATTAACCACGTAATTAAGGAATGAGTGTATTATTTAATGTCCATGTTTTTTGCCGTTATACTAGGCATTATCCTCTGAATTAATCTATAAATCAGAATTTTCAGTATGCTCCATATGTGGCTGTTCTCATTTGAATTTTGGTATATTCTACAGTAGAATGTGATACAGTATTAGAAATTAACTTGTTTGAAGTATTTTGAACAAATATTGTTATTTACTATTGTCAGTGTTTAGCAGTCTACTACTTTGGGGATGATGGTTTAACTTTGGGCAAGTGACTTTTCTCTGACTTCATTATCATTTGCATTTTTTAGCAATAGAATTCATTACATTTTTGTCTTTTATTCAGATTTTGCAATACTGCCTGCTATTACTAATTTGAAACAGAAATAACATCATGTTAAAATTCTTGAGTCACGGACATTGCTGGTATTTGTCATTATCATATTTTTTACCATATCACGTCCTTCCCCTGTGTCAGGTACCAGTGAGTTGCAGGTAGCCAACGGATTGTGTGCCGGGCGTGGGGCACCTTCATAAGCTGGGAGAGGGCCAGGTGAGGTGAGCAGTGAGTGAGGTGGCACGGAGGGGCCTGAGACCCTCTCTGTGCTCAGAGCAACCCTGTGCTCAGTCAGCCTTTCCCTCCCCGGTGCCCTTTTACCCAAGAGCTGTTACACACAGAGCATTTATGTGGTGTTACCAGATCCAAGGAGTTTACATTGCTCTCTGTTTAGCTGGTCAATACCTTGCAAAGTTATTTTTAATTTTAAATGAGTAATTGTGTAGTGTGTGTGAATCTGCAGTATTGAAAGTGTGGAAGATGCAGCTATTTAATGCAGAGGAGAATGCCCAGAGTTTGAAAGAACAGAGGCCTTTTCTGCAGGTCTCTTATGGCAAAAAAAAATGACAAAGAGAAAAATCAGCAATTTTAATACAAAAGGTTGTTTTCACTTTACCATTTGGGATCTTTTAGAGTTACCTTGAAGGGTCTCCCTGTTAGTATTTGAACTCCTGTGGTATGTAATTGCTTACCACAGTTTTTCAGCAGTTTTGAAAAGGTTTTCACAGTTTTGATCCTTTTGGTGTTGATAGCTTTATATTACAGAAACAAAGATACGGACAAAGCAGCAGCAACAAAAGGTGTGTTTCTTTTTGTGGCTTTGCTCTTGTGTTTGACCTAATACAGGGTGTAATTGTTTGTAGGCCGTTAAATAAAGCAAAATCTTGTCTGCATATTGCAAGTTCTTGCCAGTATGCATTAGTGATATTTTAACCTACTGGTGCCTGAAGTTAGCGTTTTACAACCTCAACAACTAAAACATCCTGGTGCTATTCACTGTAGCATTGAGTGACATTTTAAATTCCTGTACCAAAGAGTTAATTTTCTTTTTGGTTGACTGAAAGTTTTCTGTCTCACATCTTCATGTTTGTAATGCAGAAATGAATGGTACTAAGAATAATTTTTTTCCAGATCTTTTGCAACTGCTGCTTCATTTGTTTTCAGTGTCTCTCCTTTAGACCCCTCCCTGACTCTGCTCAGTTGGAAGATTGATAAGGGTTTTAACTTTGTATTTTAATTCAGCTTGGCTACTTTAAGAGGTAGTTTAATAGGTGATAGTCACTAAAGATAATTGAAGCATTTTTCATAAGTTGTTTTGCTTTTATTTCTGCAACAGTGAACAAAAAAACTACTTTTATTTCTTTAAATAAATGATATTATTGGGTACTCTTATGACTACTGAAACAAAATGCTAAAATAAAAGGTTAACAATGGGTCACCTTTTATTAAAAACCACAATTTAACATCGCTTAATGTGTGTAACCCTTAATTGACTTTAAAGAGTGATAGTGCTACTTTGTCTACTTTGCCAGTAAAGATAAAGAACACTTTGAAAGTGTTCTGGGTAGGAAATGTAAATGTATCTCGGCTGAAGCAAAACTACTAATAGAAAATTGAAGTTCGAAAAAAAAGAAGTCTGAATATTTTTATTCATTTTACATGAAAATTCAAGAGTAAGATTATTTTGAAAACTAAATTTACTTAGTGATTCGTTTTCTAAAAGTGGAGAAAAATACTCAAATGTAATTGTCCAATTGTAATACTGCTATGTACTACACTGTTTCCCTATTTCTTCTAAACTTTAAAAATACTATCATTTAGTGTCCTTAAAACCAAAATTGAAATGGTTAATGATTCAGGCAATAAGGTAAAAGTGTATATGTATTAGAAAAGTAGACAATCACATTTGAAAATGTTTGCATTATTTTTGATAGTCTAAAATCAGTTTCTCCTTGATGTAGATACAGTACAGTATATGGTTTTGCAGTGAATTCTGAATGGAAAAAAATAAAAAAGAATCAAGCCTGAAATTTATGTGAAACATGACTTCAGATCATGAGTGATAGGCAAGAATCCAGATAAAAACATACCAGAGGTAAAAGCAAAATGGGATATAGCAACATTCTGGGTTTAATCTGCAACAATAGTTCCTAGATTGTGTTGTTGCCACTGCATTGGTTCTGAGTAATTTAATTTGTGTGGTTTAACTTATCATAATGGAATACAGTTATTTTTCGAGTTATGGGTACTAAAGAATTCTTCACCATCTCCCAGAGAGAAAA